CACCGGTGCCGGCTCGTCAGCCGGCTCTTCCCGAGCCGCCCTGGCAAAGGCGCCGGGCTGCAAATGTGAGCAAGGCTACTGACAGCTCAAAATATGTTGCCAGTCCTGCATTGGGCAAAGAGGCCAGCAGCTGCTGGAAAGGACCAACACAACCAAATTGGTTGACTCATGAATATTCCTGGCGGCATCCTTGAAACAGTGCGGATCTCTCTTCGGGTACGCTTGCGGAGCTCTGCCGAGTCGGCCTGATCGGCCGGGGGCAGCCGAATCTGAACATGTGCTGCAGGCACCAGCATTGCAACAGCATGCTGCCCAATAAGAAGGTCCATGCTGACAAGCCCATGTTCACTGCGAAAACCATGTCGAAACTGTTGAATCAACTGACTTCACGCCGCCATCTGGGTTTGACTAATCCTTTTGTGGCGGAAAGGAACAATCCTGGGAAGCATCGTTGCTCGGTCTTCGCACCGCGAGAACCTTTTGGAAAGCCAAACATCGAACCAAAATACGTGTGATTTGGGGCCGCCAACAAGCATTCACAGCCGCCTCATTTTGCGCACCCGTCCAAAGCTTTCGGTGGGAAACTCCAATCAGCCGCAACATGGATGTTGTTCTGTCTCTTTTTGGGGCCTTGTTTGTTAGCTGCAAGGGAACCACTAGGATCACCCAACGATTTTCGGGTGTGAGAAAAGCCCATTTTGTGCGTTTGGGTCCGAAGTACCATTTTTCTCACACACCCACAAACACACAAACACACAAACACACAAACACACAAACAAACAAACAAACAAACAAACAAACAAACAAACAAACAAACAAACAAACAAACAAACAAACACACTCTCTCTTTCTCTCTCACACACTCACACACCCGCACGCGCACAAACACACAAACACACAGACTCGCAAACAAACAAAGACACACACACACAGACACACACACACACACAATTGTGATATGTAAATCACACGCCGGTTGCAACCGCTGCTGCCTGTGAAAGTGGTTGCTCCAGCGTACGGCAAGGCCAAGGGCGCAACGTCGCAACTTGCGAAGCCACCAATCCACCCGCTTCCCGAGACTGGAAGATCTGCGTGTGAGGGTGCCCTTTTCCTCGAGGAAACCAACGATTTTGGTCAAGTCCCCTAATGTGACACAAAGGAAACCACGATTTCTGGGGTCCTCCAAAATGATGTCAACTCATGTCGGGATTGCGCCCTTGACCTACTGCTCCTCAAAACCTCCGTGGCAAAAGGAGACAAATATTGGAGGACAGGCCTCAGAAAACCCCAAGCGGGCGATCCACTGCGCACGGAGCACACCAAATCGCGCCTCATGACTCCTCAGCACTGCTCAGAGGTTCACGACTCGCCCTGTCGATCGGCCCGATCGAAACTACGGAGGGGAAAACCAACCGAACCAGCGTAACGGATACTACGAGTACTATTGTCTCAATTGCTCAAAGGGCCCAGCAAAAAAAGAAAGAACAAAGATTAACCTTTTGGGGCCATGACTACAAATGGGCCTCAAGAGGAGATTGGATTCCCCATTTCGACATGATTCCACTTTGCCACTTTAAACTGGATTCCATTGGTATCGCAGACTCTTACTTTGGCCAAGAGGGCACCAGTTGCCTCCCCCATTTCGCCACACAACCGTATCCTTGTCCCCAGCAATTTAGCTCCAGGGTTTGGGAATAGACCGGGAAAAGCTCTGATTCTGCCACGCTTCTCCCAAGTAAACAACATCACTTCAACACAAAGCGCAAGTTGCAGCCAAAGGCAACAAATCCGTTGCTCCCCCCGAATTGCATGCCTCGCTGCGTTCCTTGGATGCAGGCGACATCGCCTAGTCAGGCCAAGCATCCACCAGCTCATACTCCACCGACGAGACGTCGTTCGAAGTTTTCACCTGACACCCGCGGTTTTCTCCCCGGGCTGCCGTGCCCCGTTCTTTGCAGGTGCGGGAAAGCGCCATGCATTTGCGTGTCCAAAACTGGAAAGGAGCAGGGTGCTATCGGAGGACAAAATTCTGCAGGGATGGAATGAAACTCTATGGCAAAAAGCCACCTTTCTGAAGTAGATGATTTGTCCATTCACAGCATTTCGCCCTTAAACATCGCTGCCCGCGAACTCCCAGGATCGCCTACATATGGAATCGCATGAGTATAGCTGGCTGCTTCGTACAAACCTGGACTGCGAAAAGATCAACGTTTTGAAAGATTCCCAAAGTGGTTGATTCTCGAGTATCCACAACCATGCCACCCCTGCTGATTCATGGGACAATTGCGTGTTGGTGGTTGTGATTGTGTGCGTGGGGGTGGGGGTGCCCCCACATATTCCCCGAACCAACGATAGACCAAACTTTGTCAGTCGCGTCCAGGAGGAGTGTACACTGGCACACTTCGGGGGCTCCTTTCTTGCTTATCATATCTCCCCGTTTTCACATGGCCATGGGTCAAAAGCCCGTACCCCCAGTGAACATCCCAATCCCCACTAAATAGACTAAAATGGGCGGTGCACCTACCCCAAAATGGTACCATTGGATTTGACCCACAGCCACATCACCCGAGGAAATCTTTTGAGGTTGAGTTGGACTGGTGTCCAAACGCACCATATTGGGGATCTGCCTCGAAATCCACCGGCTCGTCCGCAGGCTTGAAGGCTGACCACCTGCAATGCCACACATTGGACGAGCCACGCGCTCCGCGGATATTGCCAGAACAAAAACTTGGCCAGCAACTAGGCCAGCACCTGGGTCCCTTAGGAATTTGGACAGAAAAAACAGTTGGGACCCTGAGGCTGGCTGTAACTTGCAGAGGTCTGATGAACTCTGCCAAGGGGGGCCATGCGAGAGACATGGGCTGGAATGTTCCTTGGACCTGAGTCACTATGCTGCAATGGCTCCCCTTACGATTTGGCTCAGATAAAACCGGCGAGATTGCTTAGTTGGCCGGGGTGGAGATTTTAATGCAAGTTGGGTTGCACCTTCGCCTGCAAAACACAAGCTAGTGGTGAAACATGGCCGAAATCATTGGATCCGCTTGCCCTTCGCCATGTTCCAAGTTTACAATCAATCCCGTGGATTTGCTTGTTGCCCAGCTTGGACCCAAAAGGTGATCACCTAAAGGTCGGTGGCATGCCCTTTTGTCAATCCAAACCAACCCGTCTATTTCTCAAACGCGATCAAAGAATACCTGTGAATGATCTTCCGAAAGGAAGCCATGGTGTCCAGCTGGACAGAAACTGGAAATCTGGGCATCTCCCAGCTCTAGGGGAAACGGTTGAGACACGCTTTCCCGTGCGTTTCCGAAAGCTGACAGCGGCCAAAACAGTCCTCTTGAAAGGGTCTCGTGTCCAATTTTGTGACCGAAAGCGGCTGATTCCCCGAAGTCTCCTGTGACTGGGGTCCCTCTACAGTACAACAGAAAGTGGCAACTTCAACTGCGCAAGTTGGCCATGGCATGGATTGAGCGCCCGGCTTGTCAACGACCAAGCGCATGTAGCCGCCCTTGACCATCCGTACAGCAGCATTCTGCATCCTGGCAAGCAACTCTCAAGCCCCTTCCAACAAACCAGGGCTGCCGGGGGTTTACCAAAGACCTGGTTGAACTGGGTTGTTGGTGTAAAAACGCTTTTCCTTCAGATGTCCTTTTTCAGGTGGGTAAAGTGAGGTTGTGGACTTCCTGGGATACAAAGGGTATATCTCCGATTCCCCTTTCAGCATGTCGGATCTCGGCTTCGCTGGCCAGTCCTCAGGGAGGCTCCCTCCTTGCAGATGTCACAAAGGTCCTTGTTGCGGAAGGAGACCGTGCACATGCCTGCGCCGACCGGAGGTGGTTTTCTTCTCAGGCCCCGAAACTCACCAGAAAATGGCCTGTTGATCCACTGGAGGCCCTGTTTCGATCACTTGGTCAAGGAGCGTCCATTGATGCATTGATGCAGGTGAAAACAGATCAATGACACCTCAAGCTGAAAGGAGCGCACCGTCGCACCTTAGGCCTTCGTCAAAATGGGAGCTGGTTGGAAGTGTCCAATTGCCATCCCACCATCAAGGAGAGTTGATTTCCTTCAACCCAAATTGGAAGAGTTGCCATGCGCGGAAGCCAAGCCTGACCGCGGCATGGCGATCATTGACTTCACAAGGGTTTCCGTCACCTCCATGTAACTTCTCTCACTTCCATTTGCTTAGGTTTTCGGGAAGAAAAACAAAACACATATTTCCAGTAGTGATGCAAGTGATGGATTCCCGTTAAAGCCAACTGGGAAACATCTGAAACGCGGAGCCGCAGCCATGTCCTTGGTCTCTTGCGCCTGTGTCATCACCGCACACGGCCTCAAAGACCCCCTCAGTGCCCTCCACCTGTGGCAGGCATTGGGAAAGATCGACCGTTCGAAGCGTCTAGGGAAACCCCGAAAATGGTCTCACCTCACCGGAAAGACTCAGCAGCAATCTTCCCCAGAATCGAACAATGACATCGGAAACTCGCCAACCCTTGGCTTGTTTGGGTTTCTCATCGCAGAAACCCCAGCTGAGTTTGGTATGCATCCTGCAAAAGGCCTTCGGGTTTTAGACGCTCTACAAGAACCCATCCCCAATAGCCTTTTCCACTTACCAAGCCGACATCAGTGCTTTTATAGGCATTGAAGGTCCCCTGAAAACTGAAATTTGAGCTTGCAGGGACAATCCCTTCGACCCAAATTTCGTTGTCTCTCTCGTGCTTTGGATCCTGTTGGGGAAGTAATTTGTGCTCCATGTTTCGATTCGGCCAAAGGAAAACAGACATGGATCCCAGAATCGAATTCCCCGCACTTGCATTACATATAGGAAATGGATGCACTTTCTCCTAGCACTGCTGCGACGTAGCTTAGAGAGACCGCAGGAAAGGGGCTTGAGGATTTCCCGGGAACACGAAAGGGCCTCTGTCACTCGGTTCGCAGCCAAACCTGCAGCCCCGCGCCTGCGCTGCGGCCTTGGTGCACTTCAGCATGCAGTTGAAGCCCTGACGCAGAGCTTCGAACCATCGATCGAAGGAAGCGCCGTTTATGCCCCAACGACCTCAGCTGGTGGACCCGTGTCATCAGGGGAACTGTCATGTAAAACCTAAACAGCCAACATTCTAAGAGGAGAAGACCGTTCTTCCCCTCGACCGGTGGTGATCAGAAGGACACCGCATCGAAGGCACAATATATATATATATAGCCGTATAGCCTGTTCGAAATCTCCGGGGGCCTAATCACAATCCGTAATCTGCTTAATCCGCGTTTTAGCTGGTAAACCCCCTAATCCATAATCCGCGCGGTTTATCGCCATTCCAAGTGGGCCTGACAAAGCCTCATACCAGTACCAGGCATCCACGACTCCATCCTGGAAAAGTGACCCCACTGGGGCCCTTTCACTGCCCTTACAATAATGAAACACCCCTTAAAAAGCTGAAAAACAGTTCCCTCACAATGTAGTTGGGTGTCCCACACCAAAACGGTCTAATCCGTAAACCCCGCAATCCGTAATCCGCTAATCATTAGGGATTAGGCTTGGGACAGGTAATTATATATATATATATATTTGTCATACACGATATATAAGCAGAATCTATATATATATATATATATATGATATAATTTTGGGACCATTCCAAGATGGTCGGCATCCTAATTGTTGCTTGCAACCCCATTCCAACCAGATCCCGCTCGGAAAGACACCACGACGTGTTCAGCAGTTGACATCTACAAATCAATCCGTGTGCGGTGCTGCCCGTCGATGCAATCAGCCATCAGAAGGAATACCCCTAGATCCCCGAGTGTCCCTTTGTGAGAGAGCCGCTGCCGCACTTTTGCCGTGGCCCCCGCACCAGGCGCGCCGAGCGGGCGGCCAAAAAGCCCCAGGGCCAGGAAGACAGAAGCTCACAGGCAAAACTCAAGAGCTGTCCGTTTGCGGAGCCCGTGTTTGCGGACCAATTTAGGTGTGTCGTTCTTTGGGGGGGACCCGTTTTTGGGGTTTTAAAGGAAATCAAAAGGAGAACCACCATTTTGGGGGTCCCCTATTTTTTGACTTCCCCCGAAAGGGAAGGCTCACCATGTGCACCCGATTAGTCAGCCAGTTGATTCATCCTGGGTCAACAGCAGGTCGTTGATTCTTGCATCAGAGTTTCTTGCTGTCCACGTCTGAAACAGGGGTCAAAACTAAGCACCTCCAAAAAGCATGGTGTGATTCCGTGGTTGCATTACTTTCAAACACATCTAAAAACACGGTCCAACTGTCCAACTGGTTGTGCGGCATTCCAGGACACTGTCTTTGTTGCTTGAAATTTGCCGGAATATCACAAAAGGACCAAACAAAGGGTGCCAGGAAAGTGGGAAACGTGATCAACCGAGGGCGGCTCTCGTTTTGCCTGTCTCGGGGGTGGGCCAATCACATCTTGCCGCGCCAGACCGCGCGGCTCTCATTTCCGCAGTCTCTCGCGCGCATGGCCCGGGCCTTCGCGGCGAACTCGACTCGCAAACGCGGCGGGGTCAAAAGCCCGCCACCCCCGGGCCTCTGATCCCAGTCATTTCCCAAGGCTGCAGCGCTTGACATGTTCAAAACAATCCTTGTGTTCGCACATCGTGTGTAAATTGTTCTCTCTCTCTCTGGCGCCAAGCCTGCCAGACATGCGGCTTTGCCACTGGCACGTTCTGGAGAAGTGACTGCGTTCTGGAGGACAGCCCATCCGTTGAGCCAAGCTGGAGGGCGAACAGCTCACCCATGTACATGAGACAGCCCTGGACAGGCCACGAATCAGATAACTGTATCTATGCAGGGCTCGTGTCATTATGTGTATATATATATATATATGCACATATGCACGTGGTAGAGCAAACATCTATGTATATATTCGCACTTATTCACACTTTCCGAATTGCCAAGATTGCCAATTGCCAGGCTCACGGGACAGCCAAGGTTTATGTACAATGTGCACAACTGCCGTGCCGCCTGAGCCAAGACCTCTGCCAGTCCTGAATGTCTGCTCCAGGAAGGTTCTGCTACGCTTCGGCGTGCTACGCAGCATTTGCACCCAAACAGTAAAAAAACATCCTAAGGATAAACTCGGGTCTCCTTTTGAACAGTGTTAATACGGAAATCTTGCCTTTTTCACCCCGCACATCCTTGAAAACTCCGGAAAAGTGCTAGCCCCCCGTATTTTTGGAAGATAAACTGCTGGGCCCTGCACAGTTGGAGCTTTCCTCAGGTCGCTTTCAGTTGCGGCGGCCCTTATGGCTAGGATGCGGATGGGATCACGTCTGGGGAGAATGTTGACTATGTGCCCCGAGGCAAAGAAGCCAACACTCCTCAAATGAGTCACAAATCTGGTATGAATCTCTATCCAAACACGGTGAAAGAATGAATACCACCCACGGTCAGGACTGTCCCCACAACCTGCATCGAGGTTGGGTTATGGACCGGTCAAACAATGGCTCGCATGGCAACAGGCCTTCGGGCTGAGCTGACCTTTTGACCGCCAAGTCCAGAAGTGAGGAACCCTCGCCACACCCAGTAGAAATTAACCCAAGGATGCTTTGGACAACAAGTGGTAGATTGACACGTACAACAAACTGAAACAAACGGAGTCCATTTATTTGAATTGAATTGATTTCAAAGGACACTGTAAAGAGAACCCTTTTCGCGGCCTCGGCCCGTACAGCCGACATCGACCTCAAAGAGATACGATGATTATCGGGGGTTCCTGGCCAAGTCAGAGCTCGCAGGCTGGCACTTTCCCAAAATCAGAGACCCTGAAAGTAAAAGGTGTCATTCTGTTTCATGTGTTTTTTACCTCCAAAAGATGGTCCAGGTCCCTGATCTCAGGAAAAAATACTTGAGAGACGGAGGGCCGAAGCTGAAACGGCGCGATGCACTCAAAAAGAACTTAGATCGCGCAAGGCGGGTATCAACCTTTGCATAGAGCCAGGCCGATTTATCCTGCCCCGGACAAGGCGGTGCAGAGCGCATCGAATAAAGCCCCTATTAGGAGCTCCTATCCGGGCAAAGGTAGGTCTAAGGGACCTTGGGCAATGTTCGACATTGGTTCAAAGAGTTTCGTTTGGGTGACCCGTTAAACGGGTTCATACAAACGGTTTCGATTACATACGACTAGCCATTGCCATGTGTGATGGCTGGCAATTGTTTGTAAGAACCCATTTCGGGCACTGTAGGTTGTACGTCTCTGAGCAACAGCCCAGCAGGAATTTCACCGGGCACATCATTCGCGCGGCCTAAGCAAAGCCGAAGCTTTCCGTGGGCAAGGCTTGTAGAAGCTTCCCGCGCAACTGGCACGGTGAAGAGTACCTGAGGAAACTCGCGAAAGCCGATAGCAAAGCGCGCAATTCCGCATAGGGACCTGAAAAGGAGTCTGGGGAACGTCCATCTTGCTTCTCAATTTCTCTAAGGGGTTGTGGGGGACGTTCAAGAGAACCATGTGCGCGCAGTCAATTAGTCTCCATGATGATTCTATTGTTTGCTGCACTTTCAGCCTGGACACCCAACCAAGATCAAAGTCACATGATCAAATTCTAAATGCCGGGTAGGGGAAAAAAACAAGAGAAGAGTTGTTTCAAGGGTCAGTAGTCCTTTGCCCTTTTGGAACCGAATGCCAGGGCACTGGTGCAGCACCAGCTTGTTGATGCAGGTGTGCGCATGCGGCAGGTGTTCCGGGGAACCTGCCCCACTGACCTCCTCGGGTTTTGGAAACCGAAGGGCATCGAAGGAATTGATTCGATTCGACGGAAGGCGGCTTTGAGGTCTTTGACTCGTACACGGTCCGTCGGGCATCCCGACAACTTGGCCTCGCCATTCGTGAGGAAGGGATTGCAATGGGCCGCGAAGCTAGCCGTACTGGCAATGGTGGGAGGAGTAGCAGCAGTCATAGTTGTAGCAGAAGTATCGATGGAAGTAGACGTAGAAGCAGTAGTCGTTACAAGAAAAGAAGTAGCAGTAGCAGTTGCAGTAGCAGTAGCAGTAGCAGTAGCAGTAGCAGTAGCAGTAGCAGTAACAGTAGCAGTAGCAGTAACAGTAGCAGTAGAAGAAGCAATAGCTATAGTAGTCGTCGTGATGGTAGCGGTAGTCGTAGTAGTAGCTGCAGCGGCAACAGCAGTAGCTGTAGTTAGTGCAGTAACGCAGTAGTCATGTACGATGCTTCGCCAGTATTGGCCAGCAAGGTGTGCCATGTGTCCACTCGGTCTACCCATGTTGCAAGGGGGGGATCCCGTACGCAGTTGTCCTGGATTTTGCGGTTGGACGTGGACTCACCTACTTGGGGGGCCAAAGCTGAGGATCCACCATCTCTTGCACCGTGCTAGGGGGAGCCCCAACCCCGCCAAATGCACCCCCTTTGAGAAGACATGGGTCACTGGATTTCCGCTTCAATTCAAAGTCGATCAATTTACAGGCAGGGTCGAATCCATGGCAACCTTTGCTAGGGAATCCTAGCAACCGCCGCAAACCCACTTTGGAGGGTCACCCAAAATGATAAAGGAATTGTGACAGAGTGGTGCTTTTCACGTCCAACTCCGAGTCTCTACCGTGAAGCGCGGCGAGAGCTCCGCAAAGCCACCCGGTGGGAGCCGGGAGCTGCCCGTACCTAAGCGGTAACCATAGGAGGGCGGCTTAACATACGGGACCCCAGAGTGGTTGTCGGTGTCCATTTAAAGCAACCCCAAGAAGTGCACCCTTAGCAAAACACATCCATACGTATACATATGTATATAGATATATATATATACATATATATACATATATATGCATATCGTCATAATGCGCATATGCGTGCATATGTCTAATGATGTGGTTTGCGTGATTCTATTGATGTGCAAATATGCATATGCATATGCACATATATATATATATATTATACATGTATATCTGGGCCACGTACCCCCCCCCCCCCATGGTATGGTCCCCCCACTCCCCCGCATCATCCGCATCTTGGGGATGATGCTGGCAATGCTGGGGATGCTGTCCAGTACC